ACCTATTACACCCCCACCAATACATGTACCATATCCCTATCCGGTTTCTATTTTTTTCACCATTTTATCATGAGAGTGATAATAATAATCACCTATTGTGAGTAACGGCAGGTTACTCACGCTACCGATAGCCTAAGCATAGCAGCTACACGACCTATGCTATGCTAGTAGGACTCATAGGTACGGTTATCTATGCATGTAGTTTCAACAATAAGCCTATAACGTAAATGCACATCATATATATATATATATATCCAGTGATCATTCAAAATAAAGGTTATGCACCGGGGCTTTTCTTGGGCAGGCGCGGTGTCAGCTTAGTCAGTCAGTGGTGGCTTCAGGACCTTCTCCTCGTACTCCTCGATCACCTCCTCGAACTCGTGATCTCCGATGGTCACGATCTCCGCTAACTCGTTCTCTACATGCATGCAATGATGATGCAACACTTAGCATTTTAGCAACAACCCTTAAAATAAGAATACACTTGCTAAGCTACTAAGCTAGCTCTAATGACTAAGGTAATAAGTTAATCATTATCTCTACCAAATATATTCCAATCTCACCCTACAAGTGCTTAATTTTTATAAACCAATATCATGCCATTATTCATTTAGCCTTAATAGGTATTTAGCTACCATATTAAATAGTCTATTTTAGGGCTATAAAAATTACAGTGAGCACATAATAATACAATGAACCTATTGTAAAATTTTCAAAGCTAAAACTATCACCCTTTTGCCCAAAATTTTTTACAATATTTAACCTAATAATATTAAGCACTCTCAAATGATTTAATAGATCCTAGTTTCAACATCTATATATATGAACTAAATATACTAACAGATAGAGCATAATTTTTGAACTTAACAAAATTTGTTTCATAATTTTTGATACCTACATTATTTTATATTAATTATCAAAGTTTAGCTCAGAATTAAAATAAAAAGCTATTTCTATTCTCCACGAAAATAGCTAAACTGATTTCGGCCCAACGCGACCCACGCTGACGCTTGTCACAAGACGCTGCCTTGCTGCTGGCGTGCCCATAAAGCGCTGCCCACGCGAGAGGCCGGCCTACAGTATAAAGCGGCCCGTGATGGGGGAATCTCGCTAGTACATTAGTAAAAACGCCCCTAGACAAAATAACCCGCACTCCACGTTACTATTTCTACAAACAGCGACTTGTAACGAAACCCTCGGATCTTTCTCCTCTTGACAACGACAAGGCCCCCGGCCTTCCCCGCGCCCTCCGACGCAGCGAGCGTGGCATTGGCGCTTGCGCCGGCCACACGGGACCCCCGCTAACCTATCTATGAGACCGACGCTCACCTAAGGTTCGACGCGAAGCGATGGGCGGTGGTGGCACGAGTGAGGGTGAAGCAGAGCGGGCTCTCCCCGGCGATGGACGACCTGCAATAGCGGCAACCACGTTCCGGTGAGCCACAACGCTAACAGACGGTAGAGATAGGGGCTAAGCACTAGGGGCACACCGCGAACTAGGGCGAAGCTGTGGTTCGACCGGCGACTACCTGAGCGGTGCCAGCCACATGCGCACGGCGAGCACGGCGACAAGCCGTAGCGGATACGACCGCGTCAGCGGCAGTGGGGAGGCGATAGCGCTCCCACTGGTGTGCGCACGGTGGAGAAAGAGCCAAGGTGAGCTAGTGGTGCAGAGAAATTAGCTCGGGGTGAAGTGGTGGAGGTTGGCCACGGTGCGGGCGGTGACGGGCGTTAACGACACAGTGGCGGGCAAAACTCCAAAATTGAAGCTCTGCGTGATGTGAGTCAAGGCAGGCTAGGGTCGGCTAGAGAGGGGGCATGAAGGCGGAGACGCGAGCACGAGGAATTGATGAGAGGTGCTCGCTCTCTGGCTTCACCGTGACGCGACGCGATGGTGGCGAAAACAGAGGGAGAACAGGGAAAGAGAGAGACGACGTGGTAAGTGGGCTCGGCTCGTCTACGCCTTGGCAGGACGCGAGCGGCAAGCTCGGGAGGCCCACGCGCCAGCGCTACAGACAACGTGTGCCCGCGTCCTACCGGCGTGGCACGCACGTTGTAGTGCCATAAATGGCATGGCGATGGTGACTCGCCCACGTGCGCGCGGTAGAGGTGACACACACAGGGCCGACAACAGCGCAGAGGTGCAGCGGATCAGTGCGGACGCGACGACGATGCGACGGCAACTACAGCATCGCGACGCGAGTAGCGTCGGCAGGGCGGACGCGACGACAGTGGAGCGCGGCCGCGGCGGCACCCAAGACGGCAGTGCGAGGTAGAGCAACAGGGCGCGGGGCCAGCGGCTCGCTGCGGCCGGCCTCGGCCAAGCCCAAGCGGCTCGGCCGGCCAAGCGCGGCAGCACGGTTGACCACGCGGGACGCGGCCATGTGCGCGGCGTGAGAAGGCCGCGCGGTGACCGCGCACCCGGCGCTAACCAACCCGAGACAGTGACACGCACGAATTTTAAAGCGTTCAACACGACCAAACGATTGCTTTAGAACCTAAAATATCTTTACCATGCTCAAGATGGCACATGAGACTACCAAATCGAGTTATAACACTACGCCACCCTTTAATCCAATCTCTCACAATAAATTGCTAAACATAGCAGTGTCTAACTGTTGACAGATTTGAAAATTTCTAAGTTTTTGAGTTGAATTTGATTTCCATTTGCGGTTTCTAAGCTAGTGAAAATATTAGCTAGTAATATCATTTTTCGACCGCAAGTATTTCACTGTCATCTACAAAGTTTGTACTTCCAACTTTATTTAAGTATCACATATATGTTATATATCATTTTTCTTAATAAAAATTTGTTTTAAACCCTAAGTGATATAACATGACTATCGAATCAACTTTCGTTTCGTATTTTAGTTGATCGTTTCGAGTTACAGAAATTGATCTACACACTTTATTATATGCAATAACACATAAACATGATACTCATGACATGTTTTAGAGATGATTTACGGTCACGAAATCAGTGCAACACAATCTGCGCAGTGCGCACCCACGCACCAAGGTCGCTGCCCCAGCGCTCCGCAAAGTCAAAACCATTTTAAACGGGCTCATCTCGCCGAAAGGGGACCGACGCTGCCTTTGCCGCCACGCCAAGACCTTGTTTAGATCCCATCAAAATTCTAATTTTTTTTACTCTCTCTCCATCACATCAATTTTTGGACACATGTATGGAGCATTAAATGTAGGTAAAAAAAATAATTAATTGCACAGTTTGGTTGTAAATTACGAGACGAATTTTTTGAGCCTAGTCAGTCCATGATCAAACAAAGTTTATCAAATACAAACGAAACGTGCTACGGTGTCCGGATTGCAAAAATTTGCAAGGCCCAAATCGCCAATGCGAGGAGCCAGAGCTCGAGACACGGACCCGCGTCCCAGCAGTTGACCTGCGCTGGAGGTTGGGTTGGCGGATGCGGGCAACTGCCACTCATCCCGCCGCGAAGTCAACGCAAAAAGCCATAAAGAAACGGCAGGCGAGGGTCACAAGGCAGAACTGTGAGTGTGAGGCACAGGTAGGCGAACGCACGAAAATGCTTCAAAAATCGGTGACACCGCCGCTGAGGCGCAGCACGATCCGTGTTCGTTTCGCCGCGCCAAGCGATTGGACGGCCTGAAGCCACTCCGATCTCCGGGCACTTCGCGTGGATACGTTTCCTGATCTGATCTGACTGACAGTGCTTGTAGTGCGGTGCCTGTCGTTTTCGCGAGAGGGAAAAAAGCGCAGTGGTTTACGCTGCTCTCCGTGATGTTCAGAGTTTTTATCATGGCCTGACTTGTTCAGCCGAAGAGAATTTTTCCTAATTTAGGATATAGAACAAAGGGATTTCATAAGAATCATATAAGAATTTATCAGAATTAACTTATTTTATTTACAGGAGAAACACAATATTCATGAAAGAATTTGCGAATGAGTCTTTACCCGAGCTCGTTAGGTGGCTCTAGCAGCTCTCATGTAAATTCTCTCGTCTATTCCACGCCAAATCACAGGTCCAGAACCCATCTCATAGACTCAGACCATGATTGTTTTCACATGAACTATGGTATCGTTGTGTATGATGAGATATAGGTTCAGAGATTTTATCGAGAAAGCCTTATTATTATAACAATGTTCGAAGATTGTCTCACCTCGGCATGTCCAGTTTTTTTCACCATATTTCAAAGAAGACTTAGTTGAGACAAACATTGTTAGCACCATAGTTTAATCTCTGATTTATTGAATGGAAAGACAAGCTAATGTCTTTCTTTAGAATGCGATACCTTTTTCTTTTTGCATTTTTTCTGTAAAAAAAAAGTAAACTGATTTATGTGAAATTTCTATGTTACAAAGAGCCTCCAAACTTTGATAGTTATGGACATATTTTTGTGAAATAGCTCAGTTATTATGAGCCTGTTAGGAATGCTATACGTGGATGGACTCTGTTTCGGAATTTACTCATGTTAAGCTGCGTTCATGTATTTTTTTTAAACACTTGTCCTCACACACCATTTTCTGCCAAAAACTTTTGTCAAGGACCTACTCCCTCAGTCTTAGAAATAATATAAATCTCACTTTTTGAGATAAGATTAATATAGATATCAATTACGTATTTACCCCTACTTCATCATTCTAGAAACTAAAAAAATAATGGTTACGTTTCGGAATATTCTTCTTATGGATGAATAGAATATGATAGTTTTAAGACATATAGTGGTATTTTTAATAGACGGGTCCTAAACTCCTAATAAAAAAGTTGATTTCAAGTCTACATTTATATTCTTTTTAATATAAGATTTGAAACCTAGGATTACATAGGGAGTACTTCTGAATTCCTCGAGTATAGGAGGACCAAAACAGAAGACAATAGCATGATCTTTTTCTAGATAGAGCTCCCTTTTCTTCTCTTCTTCCCGGGAGAGCTCGAGCTCCTCTCTCTGCCTTCCTCGCAGCTCCGCCAGCTTGGCAGCTGCACTTCCCACCCCTCCCCCTCGCCTTCCTCGAGGCCATGGCTTCCTCCTCCTCCTCCTGCGACGCCACGGGCGTGCCGTTCACCCTGCTGGGCGCGCTCATCACCGCCGGCCCCGCCGCCTGGCCGGCCTGCGTCGGCGACGGCCGCGCCTTCCTCCGGGACTACGCGCGGCGCGGGACCAACGCGCTGCTGTGGGCGGGCCTCCTCTCCGTCACTTGGGTCCTGCTCCTCCGCGTCGCCGCGATGCTCCGCCTCTGGGCGCTTGGCTCCCGCATCCCGGGGCCCCGCGCGCTCCTCGCCGACCCCGGACTCGCCGCCGTCTTGCGCGACGGCGGCGACATCACCGGTTGGTGGCCGTTCCTCTCTCCGCCTTACTCCTTGTTCATTTTAACAGGATTCGGTTCAGTTGGTTGGGTTCAGTTAGTTGGTATGAGATTGGGATTTGGCGCGGGTGCGACCTCTGCACTTGTAAAAAATTTCCGTACAGTATGTTTTAGTTGCTCGGCGCCTATGTGCCATTTGGGTACTGTTCGATTGGGTACTGGATGTGACTGGATGGAGATTGCAGACATTCGATTCTAGATTTCTGTAGCTCCTTCCTACTTGAGATGTTGGGCACTAGCTAGCTACTTTAACCCTGATCTGTTGGGGATTTCGTATTGCTTGGATTGATTGATGTGGAATTTCGCTTTAGTATAGTGTGATCTAGGTGGGAGTTGACTAGGTGGGATTAGACCATTTGAGGTGGGGGCCTATGCGCTAGCGATCCATGTTCATTTTTTTTTGTTTGGCTGCTACTGGTAATATCAGATGTGATTTGTACAATTGGCGCAATACTTCGCAAAATTGCTTCACTGAGCTTTGATGCTTTGTCCACGCAGCAACTGCACTGGTCATCACAGTTACCTTAAGTAGCGATTTATTTCTGCAGGTTCGCTGATGATCTGTGATTGACCTTGTCTTGCCGTTTGAATTTTGATCAGAATATTTATATCTTTGATACAATTTTATACTTTAGGGTCATAGTGTGAATTAGGTTTTCTGTTCTTGACATGATCTAGTTGTAGTATGCATCCTCATCCTGCTCTTTTTAAAAAGGGCGTACCCAGCTGCAGAGAGCTCTCGCTCTGTGCGGGGTCTGGGGAAGGGTGTCAGTGGCAAGCCTTACCCTCGCCTGTGCAACGCGAGGAGACCGCGACTCGAACCCGGGACCTTCCGGTCACAGGCGGTAAGACTCTACCGCTTGCACCAGGCCCGCCCTTCCTCATCCTGCTCTTTTTGGTGGAAAAAGAGCAGAAGAGGAAATCAAGTTACTTTTCAAATTCTTATTATTGACAAATCTTCCTCATCACTGTTAGATTTTATTTTTGTAAACTGTATGTCTTATAAGTTATATGGACTTATATGCTAGTTTTCCTGGGAATGTGCATTTTTGTGTGTAAAACTTACTAGGCAAGTAGACGTAACATTGAGGGTGCTGTGTTTTAAATACTACCAGCCATAAATGGGTAGACATATAGGTTGCTGCATTACTTTGTTGATGAATAATATTCGGTCCCATGTGATCCAGCATTGTTAGTGCTGTTCTTGAGCATGGGCATAGGATGGCCCACTTGAGCACTTTAGAATCCATGCGATTAAAGCTTCAACTTACTTTGTTCCATCAAATATTCTGTATTGCTAGCAGATTTACTATCGTGAACTAACAATCTACTACTTTATGAGTCTTTACTAATGATGGAAACAATTGTTTGACATTTGAGCCTTATTATGGCAACGATGAGTCGTTCTTTATCAGTATACAGCACATTGAACGATTCTGATGTCCTTTCCCCTCTGAACTATTTCATTTTGCAGGTTTTCTGTCAAAATTGCATGGGAGATATGGCCCAGTTGTTCGCCTGTGGGTAGGACCCTCTCAGCTACTTGTATCAGTTATAGATCCTACTCTAGTTAAGGAGGTGCTAACAAAGGCTGAAGACAAGTTACCATTGACTGGGAGGACATATAATTTAGCTTGTGGAAAACTTGGCTTATTTGTGTCCTTATTCCAAAAGGTATGCGCCTCCATGCAACAAAATCCATGTGGGCTCTACAGTATTACATTTATCCTATTTCTAGTCTGTATTGATGCATTATCACTTGTTTATCGGCAGAGGGCATGTTCAATTACTTTTGACCTTTTTATTACTTCTTGTAATCCTTTTGTTCTGCATCTTTAGGTCAAAAGTACAAGAGATTCTCTCAAAATATTTTTGAATGAAAAACTTACAGTTGGTGCTGGTCAAAGCTCATTCAAAATTATCGATGCTGTCCTGAATAGAATCAACACTATTATGTCCAAGGATTTTATGGACACTAGATCTTTCTCCCAGCACATGGCATTCAATATCATTGGTGCAACTCTTTTGGGTGATGCCTTCTTCGATTGGTCTGACGCTGCTGCTTATGAGGAACTTCTTATGCTAGTCGCAAAGGATGGTTGCTTCTGGGCTTCTTATGCAATTCCACCGTTCTGGAGGCCTAGTTATAGGAGGTATCGGACCCTATGTGCTAAGCTGAAGATATTAACAGAGAGCGTCATCAGAAAATCAAGACAAAACAGTTCACTTAATCATTTTGATCAGAGATCTTGTCTGAAAAGTGAAGGGACAGATCCAAATACACATGTTTTAGACAACATAATGGCAAGTCATTGTCTCCATGGGGCTGCTGGAGGACCACTTAATTCAGAAGAGGAAATATTTGGAAACATCATGGGTTTGATGTTGCATGGTATTTCCGCTTCTGCTAACTTGATTGGTAACATTTTGACAAGGCTTGTCTTGTTCCCAGAATTGCAAGATCAGGTATGTATTGGCTCCTTTATTTTCTCTATTGCAAACTATTTAAGTTGCTCGCTTATGATATTAACATTAATGAATGGTTGTTGGTGTTTTCTTATTCAAATGAATACAGCTCTCGTGGATTTTTTACATGTTAATTATTTAAATAAGAAAGAATCTCATTTTGTGTTGCATTGACTGCATAGAAAGGTTTCTAAAATGGAACTTCACTCATCTTACAATAGTGTGGACAATCTAGAAGGCCCTTCAATCATTATATATATTAGAAGGGATGGACCACAATTATCCACCCATATTTTATGTGTGAGTTACACCTCTCCACTCATGCTACTTCTATTTTCAGCTACACGCAGAGATTGTTTCAGTCTGTAATGAATCATCTAAACTGGAGGTCGACGATCTGCTTAGGATGCAAGTCCTACTTGCTACTGTATGTGAATCTGCTCGCCTTTTGCCTGCTGGACCTCTTCTGCAGCGATGTTCTTTGAAACATGGTACGCATGTTATAGACCTTTTGAATGCCTTTGCCAATCCTTTTTTTTTTGTGTGTCGAGATCATCATGTTTTGAAGTTCGATACTGACTGGTCTGTACATCTAGCCACAAGAGAAGCTCATAAGTCACCTGTAGGCCAGTTTTGATTACCACATGTTTTCCATTCTGACTCACTTTGGATTTCATTTTCCTTGAGTCCAGATTTGAGGCTTGGCTCGGGTATCACTGTGCCAGCTCGATCAATATTAGTAGTTCCTTTGCATCTTGTGCAAATGGATGCTTCTGTTTGGGGTGATGATGCTGACCAGTTCAATCCTCATCGGTTCCTTAAAAAGGACGTTGATATTGGAGGTCTTCTCTCGCTCCCTCTTCTTTTTACACTTTTCTGTGTTGGGAGATATTTCATTTATGACATGAAAAGTATTATTGAATGTATAAGCAGGCCGTTTGTAACAGCATTTTGAAGATTATATCCATCACTTCATTATTGTCAGTCTGCATATAGATTAGTCACACATTTGTTAGGCTTTTACCATTTTTCCCCCTTTTTGCAAGATTCTTGGTGATTAATCTCTTGCATTGTTTCCTTAATATACTGCAGAAATATTAGGAGCACCTAAAGGATCAAATAGGATAAATATTTTCAGCGAGTGTGCCAAGACTGAATCATTTCTTCCATTTGGTTCTGGGAGTCGAGAATGTGTTGGGCAGAAGTTTGTGGTTCTTGCAATATCGATGTTGATTGCCAGTCTCCTCCGCAGCTATGAGGTTAGATGCACTGATAGCTTCCTCATGTTTAATATGGGCTTAATTGATTCCTTTAGAAGAAGTTCAAAAAGTTTTAGCTATTCCCTTCTAGGTTTTGGGTTTAGCTACAGATTGCCCTTTTCATTATAATTTGTGTTTTAACTTTATAAGCTTCTGATGTTATTTGGAACTCGATCTCTCAGGTACAGCCTCATCCAAGTTTGTCTAAAGAAATGGGGACAGCAGTTGACAGCAGCCACCTTCATCTCCCAAACCCTAAGATCATCCTCACCAAAAGAAGGATCTGAAGGGACAGTTTGGCAAATGAAAATCTGGCACATTTACGTTCACTATATTGTTTTTCACTGGTGTTACACCAGTATATGATCTTTACTTTCCTACCGTCGTTTGGCCCACGCTGAAGTTTGTACAGGCGACACTTTGCGATGTGGAAGTGTTTTTTTCCTCTGGATTTTTGACAGACCCTGTGTGCTAAGTTGGATCTAGTTTTTGTCAGGTTTTTGGAGCACCCGTGGGGCTGTTAGATCACAGGAGGTGTATGCTGATGTGCATAAACAGACTGTAGTTTTTTCAGTTGGGGTTTTCTCCTCCCTCTGGGGGGAATGTAATGTCCAACGCATGATGTCGCTCGACACATATATATTTATTGTATGTATCTTACTTGCATATAAACATGTGAGGCTGTTGCTTCGACCAGAATTTGTGAAATATCTGTTGGAGTACCATGCTTGCCTTTCTTCCGTGAGGTGTCAACTTTGAGGTCTTGTTTGGATGTTGCCTCAGTCCACATCCAAATGTGTTGGGATGGATTGAGGTAGAATTTAGTCAAGTTCCATTTCAATCCACCCTATAGATCGATGTGAATCCAACTGCATCCAAGACATGGAAGAGGAAGCTGAGGGCCCATGGTTTGGTGGTGCACGGTGCATTTGTCACTGGCAGGTAGGTCTGATGAGCATCGGGTCCACCTGTAAGTGACAAAGGTAAAGATGAATTGACTGCAGAGGGTCTCAGCTGTTGCCGCTCCTCATCCTCAGCGACGCCTCCAGCAGTCCAGCTCCATCGGCGTGCTCACGGGCAACAATATAGTTTTTTTTTAGGGAACGGGCAACAATATAGTTGGGCCATGGACAGAATATAGTTGGGCCTCAACCCCAGTATATTTAAAAGCCCAGCCCACTTGCCACGTCACAGTCACCAATTCCACCCAGTGACCCACTCCATCCAGCGGTTCAGGAGATGGTTGCGCTCCTCCGTCCTCTCTCAGCCACCGCAGCTGCCGCTGCCGCCACCTTCCTCCTCGCCCCCGCCGCGCCGCTCACTGGTTCCTCAGTCGCCGCTAGTGCCGTCGTCGGTAGGCGGTGGAGAAGCGTGAGGGCGAACGCCGGCGGGGGCTGGCTATCCGGGCTGCTGGGCGGCAAGGGCGGCGGCGCGTCCACGGCGATGGCGGTGACGCCCGGGACCGTGAAGGCCGGCGACCCCGTCCTGCACGAGCCCGCGCAGGAGGTGGCGCCGGGGGACGTGCGGTCCGAGAAGGTCCAGGGCGTCATCGACCGGATGGTCGACGTAATGCGCAAGGCCCCAGGCGTCGGCCTCGCCGCCCCGCAGATCGGCGTCCCGCTCAGGGTATGGCTGATTCTTCGCTTCGCCTTGGGAGTTCGATTGCTGGTGTTCAATCATCAAGGGCACCCAATTAGTCGCCAAAGATGCTGTCCTGTTACAAACGTGCTGATGTTTCTGAGAATTAATCACCGAATTACAGATTATTGTTCTCGAGGATACGCAAGAGTACATCAGCTATGCACCCAAGAAGGACATCGAAGCACAAGATCGCCGTCCTTTTGATCTTCTTGTCGGTACATTTTGCCACATTGTGTTGCATTCGGCGCCCATAGAACATTTGGAACTTTCTCATGCCCTGTGCTTTTCCTTGAACCCAGGTCATTATCAATCCCAAGATTAAGAACACAAGTAAAAGAACTGCGCTGTTCTTTGAGGGATGTCTCAGGTACACATAGTAGAATGCTCCTTTGTGCAATATTAACAGTTGTCTCTGGTAGTTTATATATGATGATACTTTTATTCTGTGAATACAGAAGCTGCATTGCATTGTGCTAGATTGTATTGTGTATGATCTCATACTTGTCTTCCCGGGATGCCAGTGTTGATGGATATAGGGCGGTCGTGGAGCGGCATCTAGACGTTGAGGTTTCAGGTCTGGACCGAAATGGGAGCGCCATTAAGGTACAGGCTTCAGGATGGCAAGCACGCATCCTCCAGCATGAGTGTGATCATCTTGAAGGCACGCTGTATGTTGACAAGATGGTCCCAAGAACATTCAGGATTGTTGATAACTTGGATTTGCCGCTTCCCATTGGATGTCCTCAACTAGGCGCAAGATAATGTGGATAGCTTGCGTTTTTTTCCTCATCGAATAGATGTGATTGCTTTGTAATCTCTCTCCCCCCCCCTCTCAAGAAACTTTTCCTGTAGAGTACTGCATTTTGCTTCAGACTGTCTCCAATGAGGAGCCCTAAACGCAAAATCGGTCACGCACAGTACTTTTGCCTATCAAAATCACGCTCCAACAGAAGACCCATTCAAGGAACTCATTTTGGGTCTGACGTCGGCAAGAACGCAAAAAAGTGTCGTCGAGGAGAGACGACGCAAAAATCTTGCGCCGTGGTGGTGGGCGCCGCCGCGCCAGGGGAGGGGGCGCTCGCCCTAGCGCCGCCGGCCGAGGAAGGGGCTCCCGCGCCTGTGCCGGGGGCGGGCACCGCGGATGCTTGGTCGCGGCTGCGGACACCGCCGAGGCTCGCCGCCGCACGGGAAGCGTCAAGTGGCGAGCAGCACCATGGGGCTGTGAGAGAGAGAGAGAGAGAGAGAGAGAGAGAGAGAGAGCACGGCCGGAGAGAGCGGGCGCGCCACGAGCGCGACGTGGAGGAGCTCCCGGGACGGTGAGGCGGAGCAGATCTCGTGGAGGAGCTCCGACGGGAGCAAAGCAGAAGGGGCCAGGCCCAAATGCCGTGGCGGCCGAGCTCATGGCGATGGGTGGGGGTGCTCACCATGTAGGGGGGTCGGGCCATGGGAGGCGGGGAGCCCCATGGCGCCGTCCCCTCGCTGCCCCAAGCACCTCCTCCTCGCCCGTGACCGTCGATTGAGATTGAGAGAGGGGGTCGGCCATGGGGAGAGAGGGGGTCGCCCGTGACCGCGGCTGTTGGAGAACGCGAGGTTTGGGTTCGGAACCTTTTCACTGTGCATGACTCAAAATATCGAATGGGTCTTCGATTTGGGTACGTTCCGTTGAAGATAGTCTCACATCTAGCTATCCAACCAACAGTAATTCATATTTTAATATGAAATATGAATCATTGCTGCCTAACCATCTGATCCAACCGATACTGCACATTTGCACAATGTACAAGGTGACACTATCAGTAGTGATTTCCCCCCAAAACAACTAAGGACCCTTTCATAAATAGAATTACATGCTGTGAACATATTTTTGTGATGAATTTAACATCAACCATGCATCTCACCTAGTCCCTCCTTCTAAAAAATAATACAATTCTCACTTTCTAAAGAATCGAACAATTTAGCTTTAACCACCTCTATAGAAAAAATACTAACATTTTTATATAGTTATATCAAATAAGTACCATTAGGTATATATATATACACACACACGAGGCTAAAATGTACCTGGGTGCATTCTGTGAAGCGAGTGCACCCGACACGTGAGCGCGAGACGCGCGGAGCGCGGCGAGCGACAAGCGCGAGGTAAGTCCACGCTCCTGCATGCATGGAATCTTTTGTTGATTTCAAACGAAAAAATGTGATATCTTCTAAACTATATATCCGATTTTAGTTCTGTTTGAAGTAGGTTGTTGAAAAAAATATGCTTAACAAAACGAGATCCATGAAGGCTGTATTTGATGAAGTTTTTTTTTTCAAATACGTAATTGCAATATATTGTACTATGAGTTGCAAGCACTTCTACAACACAATTGCAACTTGGCTGTAGCGTATTTAGCACTGGCTGCAATGAAGACTGTATTTGATGAAGTTTTTTTTTTCAAATACGTAATTGTAATATGTTGTACTATAAGTTGCAAGCACTTCTACAACACAATTGCAACATAGCTGTAGCTTATTTAGCACTAGTTGCAATGAAGGCTGTATTTGATGAAGTTTTTTTTAAATACGTAATTGCAATATGTTGTACTATGAGTTGCAAGCACTTCTACAACACAATTGCAACTTAGCTGTAGCTTATTTAGCACTAGTTGCAATGAAGGCTGTATTTGATGAAGTTTTTTTTTTCAAATACGTAATTGCAATATGTTGTACAATGAGTTGCAAGCACTTCTACAACACAATTGCAACTTGGCTGTAGCGTATTTAGCGCTGGTTGCAATGAAGGTTGTATTTGATAAAGTTTTTTTTTTCAAATACGTAATTGCAATATGTTGTACTATGAGTTGCAAGCACTTCTACAACACAATTGCAACTTGGCTGTAGCGTATTTAGCACTAGTTACAATGAAGGCTGTATTTGATGAAGTTTTTTTTTTCAAATATGTAATTGCAATATGTTGTACAATGAGTTGCAAGCACTTCTACAACATAATTGCAACTTGGCTGTAGCGTATTTAGCACTGGTTGCAATGAAGGCTGTATTTGATAAAGTTTTTTTTTCAAATACGTAATTGCAATATGTTGTACTATGAGTTGCAAGCACTTCTATAACACAATTGCAACTTGGTTGTAGCGTATTTAGCACTGGTTGCAACTAATTATAATCTAGTAGTTGCAACTAGGTGGCAGATAGAGTTGCAATCGGTAGTACATTGACATGCAACTCGTTTAAAGGATAAAAAATATATCCATATTGGATCTAATTTTGCTCAGAATATTTTTTTGAGTCGGATGCAGCAAACGGTTTATCACTCGAGGTTACAGTTTAGGAGAAAATTTGTTTCAAATATTCGAACCAACAAAAAATTCCATGCATGCATGTATTCGCTTTAAGCTACTGGTTGCTCCAAGTTGGTGCGCCCGTATATACACAGTAAGGCTATTATTCTGGTACTGCCACAAATAATGTTTATACCACCTTAATTTACGATAATGACAATACACATTTACGATAATGACAATACACATTTACGATACATGAGTTATTATAATTCAAGATGATACTTACCATAATATTATAGTAAATCACTTACGAGAGAGTTACCATAATCTCGTAAATTAGTATAGTAATTATCGTAACTTAAAGTGGC